CCCCAAAACCCCAAAACCCCAAAACCCCTTGAAACTAGCTTACTCAGTTTTTGGAAAAATATTCAATTAAAAATAATTATAATACTATTGAAATGATAAATTCCCAAATGGCTGCACATTAAACAATGAATCAGAGAAATAATGCATTAGAGACAAGCCATTCGTCATCGCAAGATTAAATATCACCCCCAATACTAAACTCAAACAGTTCAAGCACCCACCAAGCATACAAAGAGTTTGATTAGACTAGAGTTGCTAGGCAAGGCTATGCAAAGCCTCTTATTTCGCCGACAAAAACTACGAATTCTCACTCTTTCAAAACCCCTAGCACACTTCACTTGAATCAAATCACTCCTAATCATTCTCATCATCAAAATGGGTTTTCTCATCTAAACAGCTCTGGACATTTAAATAGGTCAGGTATTGAAGAAACTACAAGTCCCTTGCATCACTCAAGGAACACTTCGCAGAAAATAGCTAATGTAAAAACCTACGGAGGAGAGTTAGGCAGCAGTCCAGACGAGCACGATAACAACCCTGATAATTAACAGTAATCGAGTCAGCTGTATTAAAATTCGCAGGATTCAGATGTTCTCTCAGAAAGCAATACGATGTTTCATTCGAAAAAGAACAGCGCATAACAGAGCACAGTCGCGAACTAGTTGCCTCAATCAAGTCAGCACAAAATACTGCTGTGTAAACTCATCATTTAATTTTTATTTTAGATTCAGCGACTTCTGTTGCTCATTCGTTCAAGAAAAAAGAGAATCTAGACAAAAAGTACTCAATTGGTAATGAATTCCCCAATGATAAACACTAATTTAGATGAAGAAAAGTTGAGCGCAAAAAACACATAGAATTAAACTATTAGTTTTGACAATCCCAAAGCTACTACATTAGTTAAAAGAGGCAAAGTAAATTTGAGTCAACATGAGAAAATGAATTCAAGCGGAACAAATGAGAATTTATCGAACAGCTTATGCAAGGATTTACACAATAATAGCACTAGCTATGATAAGATTCAAAGTTCTCTCAATAACACGCTGACTTTAAATAAGCAATTTTCTGGAAAGAAATATAACTCTAAGACAAGCAGTGCGATTAATGGAATAGGTAACTTGACTAATAATAACACTGCTGCTATTAATGTTACAAATGCGAGTTTAAACAATAGTCTGTCAAACGTAATAAACCCCACATTGACATAATAAAATGTCATCAAATTTGAATAGCATAAATCCCAGAGTGCCTATTAATCCCCTAACAGTAATGCGCTGAATAAAACTGCTAGGCCTAATATATTTGCTAAATAAAAATCACTTCAAGAAAGCACCCCAACTGGAAACAATACTGAGGCATAGTAGCCGCCATCAACAAGACATATGAAGAAAGTGTCCAATTAAACACCGATGATTACCTCATATCTTAGTCAGTAAAACTCGACTAAGGTTCAAAAATCAAGTATTTTCAATTTTAACAGCAATAACAATAATAACAACAACAACAATAATAACTCTCATAACTTGAGCTTGAATACTATGGCTTAACATATAAAGAGTAGCCACTAATCACCAAAAGGGAAGACTCAGACTATTTCAGCAATGACAAAGTATCAATAAAATATGCAACTATAAAGCAGTCATAATAAGTAGCATAGAAGTCATATCATTAAAAAGCAGATTCCGTCCTCATCAACTCAAGTTATGAATAACCCAGTCTAGAGATAGCCTCCAAAATAGAGTGAAAGCTCATCTAAAATACAGAGCCAAAATGCATCACTCAATTTCACCATTAATAACAATACATCTACTTAGAATATCCTAGCTAGTGGAATGAGTAAAAATAATTAGGAATATAATTCAAATCCTATTTAGAACAACCAATCAGCCAACAATAGTTTGGTTGTTGATAGTAGGCCAAGCTCCTAAAATTAGATTCATTCATAAAACTAATCTACGGTATAGCAATAGCAGTAATAGTAATAAAATCAACTTTCAAACTCTAATAGCAAGAAAAATAGTATGATGCTCAAAGGCATCAAAAGTTTATAAATAGAAATACCTGAAGAAGTTTTGAATTAGCATCGATAGTCCTAAAATGATACTCAAAATTCAAACAGAAGCGATAAAAAGCCTGCTTTGAGAAATAATATCAGTCTGAATTTGCAATCAAAGTAGAACTAATCCTAATAAGTGTCTTAGTTAACAACTCCAAAAGCTGGAGACTTTAAGGATAGATAGAACTTTTCAATGGCTTCAAGCGAAAAAGCAAAGTAAAAGTCAAGTCCTAAGAGTATTTAATAGCAATTTCAAATGATGGCTGAAATGCCACTACAACCTGCTCATAAGATTATTATACCCAATCACGAGCCTACTAAATGTTCAGTTAAAAGAAATGGGGTAGTGGTTGCTTATGCTGCAAATACAAATTAAGGTATCATAAGGACCTATAATGAGGATAGAGTGTCAATAATTCTAAATATACTTAAGCCTCCCAATAGAGCAAATGAAGAATGGCCGAAGTGTTCATTCTTTGGCATTTACGATGGGCATGGAGGTTCTGGCTGCGCTGATTTTCTTCGCGATAATCTACATCAATTTGTTATTAAAGAGCCATCTTTTCCTTGGAATCCTAAAGAAGCCATTAGAAATGGCTTTGCTAAAGCAGAAAAGAAATTTATGGAAATAAACTATAATCCTGAAAACGACGAGGTTATTGATAAATCTGGTTCTTGTGCAATAACTGTCTTGATCATTGGGGATGTCTGCTTTGCAGCTAATGTTGGAGATTCTAGAGCACTGCTTTCAGGAACAGGCGGACAGAAAATTTATCCCTTAAGCAGAGATCATAAGCCTAGTGATGAAAATGAGAGGAAAAGAATAATTGAAGCAGGAGGCCAAATATATTAGTAAGCTTGAATATATATTAACATATTAGAACTGCTACGAGTATGCCAAATAATACTAATGATCAGAATGCAAAGAAAGAGATAATAATAGGACCTTAAAGAGTTTTACCAGGTAGGTTGTCAGTTTGCAGGACTTTTGGAGACATTGATGCCAAGATTGAAAAGAGAGGAGGTAATCCTAATGTAGTTGTAGCAATTCCTGAAATCAAATCATTCCGAATCACAGATGAACACGATTTTATCGTTATCGCTAGTAAATTATTTGCTCTCATTTTATGTATATTTAGGTGATGGTATATTTGATAAGTTATCAAATCAGGAGAGTATTGAATGTGTCTGGAACAGTGTAAGAGATGTCAAGTCACAAAATGTTCATTAGCAAGCAGGACTTGGAGTTGAATACATCATAAAAAATGCTCTTCTGAGAAGAACTCTAGATAATGTTACAGTTGTAGTTGTAGCCTTTGAAAACTTTCAAAGGATAGCATTCGGTTCCACATTCACAGATGAAAAAGATATCTAGTCAGCTGGAAACATCACTGATTATAATATAGGTTCTAAAAAGCGAAATCCCTAAATGAATAATACTCATACAACTGGATTGATTAAAGATAGTCGCAAAGTTTTAGGATAATAGACTTTTAGATCTGGTTTGTAAACACCAACTGGCAATATACTTGAAAGAAGTTTGCGAAGTCAGAATGTGAGTTTAGAGGAATCCAAATTATCAGATCCTAATTTTAGTTATCTAAATAATACTCACTTATCGTTTAAAACTCACGCAAACAACAATTCTATTCATAATGCTAAAATGACAGATACTAGCAACATTTAGATTAACATCAATTAGCCAACTAATCTGAATGGAACTAACAACTTCTTACAAACGAAATAACTAATAAGTCCTCATGCGATAGCTTCTAAATATTAGAGTATATCCACTAAAAATGATGAGATCAAGTCCAAGGTCAAAACCTTTGATTTCAACTAATGAGAATAGCAGTAAAACCTAAATGCCTTTTTGCAACAAAAGTTACTTCATGGATAGTAAGAGGAGTTATGAAATAGGGGTATGTGCTTGAATGCAGAGGATTTATGGGATGTAAATGAAGTTATCGTACCAAGCAAACAACAATAGTGATATGAAAGATGCTCAACAAGTTCCTAAATTTTTTCAGTGTAATAATGAATGAATAATAATGATGATCGATAATAAATATATATACTTGTGATATTTGTATTGTTTTGTATTATAACCCTTCTCGTTCAAATGTTATATTTTTAAAAGATGGGGTTTTGGGGTTTTGGGGTTTTGGGG